ACCCATGGGCTCTCTTGTCCCCTCCCACAGCCTGCTCTCCATTTCCCAAGGCTCTTGCTGCCGGGGAGGGACAGCCCCTGGGCTCAGGCTGAGCAACCACAGGCCTGAGGAATGGGGTGCCCCACAGAATGAGGCTTTACCCACTCTTGGGCCAGGATGCCTGGATGTGTGGCTCAGCGACTCAGGACCCTCCCCACCCCAACCCCCTCAGCTGAGCAGGAAGCACACACCTCATCGTCACCCTCTAAAGAGCTGCATTAAAGGACAGAGTTGAAGCTGCTTCTGCCTGAGAACACAGGAAGTCAAGGGTGAGCCCAAAACCCCCGAAGAAGCCCTGGCTGGGACCAGGGTTAGAAAGTCACACGTCTCCGCCACCAGGACTGCACATCGGAGCACTGAGGGCCCATCCCAGAGCCACGCTTTCCGCTGCTGAGGGACAGCTTCGTAAGCAATGTGTTGCATTGCTCAGGTCACTCTCCCCTCGGCCTCCATGTCCTAATCTGTGAAATGGGAGTAAGGCACAGGTCGAGTCATAGGACAGCGTCCCAGCACCAGCTCCAGGGCCCGCAGCATCCGTGCAGTGAGCGCCAGAGTCTCCCAACCTGTCTTTGACCATCTCCTTGTTCTGCCCTCCTCCCTAACAGGAGCAGTTCATTGAGCTGTGTAAGACGCTGTACAACATGTTCAGCGAGGACCCCCTGGAGCAGGACCTGTACCACGCCATCGCCACGGTGGCCAGCCTCCTCCTCCGCATCGGCGAGGTGGGGAAGAAGTTCTCGAGCCGCAACGGCAGGAAGCCCGGGGACAGTACCCCCAGCGGGGACCAGGACGGTGCCACCAAGGAGGGCGCGCCCCCAGCGGCAGAACCCCATCAGGACCCAGCACAGGAGCCCCAGCCACCAGCCGCAGGGGACCCCCAGGCCAAAGCCGGCGGAGACACCTACCTGGGGAAGGCGCCACAGGAGAGCCAGATGGTGGTGGAGGGGGGGAGTGGTGAGGGGCAGGGCTCGCCCTCCCAGCTTCTGTCCGACGACGAAACCAAAGACGACATGTCCATGTCCTCCTACTCGGTGGTCAGCACGGGCTCCCTGCAGTGTGAGGACCTCGCGGATGACACGGTGCTGGTGGGCGGGGAGGCCCGCAGCCCCACGGCTGCGGCACGCCTCGGGGGCACTGTGGACACGGACTGGTGCATCTCCTTCGAGCAGATCCTGGCCTCCATCCTGACAGAGTCTGTGCTGGTCAACTTTTTTGAAAAGAGGGTGGACATGGGGCTCAAGATCAAGGACCAAAAGAAGGTCGAGAGACAGTTCAGCACCTCCAGTGACCACGAGCAGTCTGGGGCCCTGGGCTGAGCCCTGCAGCTCTGGCTGAGGCCTCTGTCTCCTCCCTCCCTTCCTCTCTTCCTGATTTCTCATTAAAGACAAGCCCCTCCCGTCCACCCCAGAAGCAGCGGGTTGTAAGTGGAAAGAAGGCTGATGCCGACACAGTTGCCTTAGAAAGAGTCCCTGGGCCTGGGTCTCCTGGCAGCAGCCGCTCCTGGGGCCCGGGAGACACGGCCACTCCTATCTTCCTCTCTGCCCACGGGAGCTGCCTCAAGCCAACGGCCCCTGCCTAGCATTAGAGGCACTCACATCTGCCCCCACTTGCCTCCTGCCTCTGCGGCAGGGCCAGAGCGGGTCCCTCCAGCCACGGGATGCTCTCCTGCAGCTGGGTAGGCCAGGGCTCTGACCTGCCACTTGGCACCAAGTGATGGAACTGGAAGGTGCTTTCTGAGAGCCCCTGAGCCTGGACCTCCTGCCAGAGACACGGGCGGAAAGCGGCACTAGTGTGGGAGCTGCACAGCACCCAGGTGTGCTTCTCCAGCTCATCCTTGTCAGGAACCCGAAAGCACCTCCCTCGGGTCCTGACCTATTCCTCATCTTCATTTCACATGGCTAAAATCACACTGTGCTCAATGCCTTAATAAACCCGTGAAGGAAATGAAACTCACACTGTGTGCGGTGCTTTAATGGGACCCCTCCCCACCACTGGAGCCTCCTGACATCCACCCAGGCCATGGTCAGCAAGGTTGGGAAACCTGACCCATCAGGGTGGGGCAGGGGAGTACAAGGCCCTGTAGGTTGGCTGGGACACGGAAGATGCTGGGCCAGGCCAGGCAGGGCTTACACTGACTTGCCCAGGTAGACCTGAGCCGTGCAGAGGACACACGTGGGGGTGCAGGAGGCATGACCCAGGGCCAGGGCTGCGGCCCTCAGCTAGAATGGGGTTGGGTTGCAGAAGTTGAGGCCACCCCTCAAGGTCCAGCATTTGCTCCCAAATGCTCCTGCCGGGGGCTGCATTTTGTTATTTTTTAATAGCTTTATTGAAGTATAATTTACATTCCATAAAATGCATGTGTTTCAAGTTATAATTTACAGAGTTGTAAAATTGACTCCTCAGTGCAATTCTAGAACATTCTTATCACCTCAGAAAGATTCCGCAGGCCCATTTGCCTCCAATCCCTGCTTCCCCACCAAATTCAGGCAACCACTAACTTGCATAGATTTTATGGCTAGGTTTTTTTTTTTTAAGATTTATTTATTTATTTGAAAGAGTTACACAGAGACAGGAAGGACAGAGAGAGGTCTTCTATCTGCTGACTCACTCCCCAATTGCCCGCAACAGCTGGAGCTGTGCTGATCTGACGCCAGGAGCCAGGGGCTTCTTCCGGGTCTCCCACGCAGGTACAGGGGCCCAAGCACATTAGCTTGGTACAGGTTCCCAGGCACATTAGCAGGGAACTGGATCAGAAATGGAGCAGATGGGACTTGAACAGGCACCTATATAGGATGCTGGCGCTGCAGGCAATAGCTTAACCCACTGAGCCACAACGCTGGCCCTGACACATTCTCAAACACAATAAAATAACATCAAGGAAACTCAATAACTACTTTTTTAAAAAAAAGTCATAAACTAAGCCATATAATTTCCTTCCTAGTATTCACACAGCTGCCATAAAATAATTCAAAAGATTCATACCAGAGAAAACATTCTTGGCCATAATGCAATTAAACAAAGATATACATAAAAGGGATGGCTGCTGCTTGGAATACCTTTACCCCATTCTGGAGTGCCTAGGTGGGGTCCCACCTCCACTTCCAGTCTAGTTTCCTGCTAATGTGTATCCTGGGAGGCAGCAGAGTTCCTGCCACTCAGGTGGGAGACCCAGATGGAGTTCCTGGCTCTTGATTTTAGCCATGGCAATGTTGTAGGCATTTGAGGAGTGAACAGCAGATAGAAGATTCTCTCTCTCTCTCTCTCTCTGCCTTTCAAATAAGTTTTTAAAAAGATATACATAAGGCTGTATACATAAAAAGATACACAGTGCTGTGGCATAGCAGTGCTGTGGCATAGCCCGCCTGCAGTACTGGCATCCCAAATGGGCGCCGGTTCGAGACCTGGCTTCTGCACTTCCGATCCAGCTCTGCTGTAGGCCGGGAAAGCAGTAGAAAATGGCCCAAGTACTTGGGTCCCTACATTTGCATGGGAGGCCTGGAGGAAACTCCTGGCTCCCAGCTTCGGATCAGTGCAGCTCTGGTCATTGAGGCCAATTGGGGAGTGAACCAGTGGATGGAAGTTCTCTCTCTCTCTGCCTCTCCTTCTCTCTCTCTGTAACTCTTTCAAGTAAATAAATAAATCTTTATTTTAAAAAAAAAGATATACATAAGAAACCCACACATTTAGTGATTTCAAGTCTTAAATTGTTAGTAATCAGATTTAAGTACGTTAGGATTTGGGTAAATGTTTTAAATGCCATGTAGAAGTATAACCTTGTGAATATACTAAAGAAATTAAGTTGTATAATATAAGAGGCTCTAACCTATCCCATTTTAAAAGGATGTACAAGGGCCAGCTCTGTGGACATAGCAGGTAAAGCTGCTGCCTACAGCGCCAGCATCCCATATGGACATCAGTTTGATTCCCGGCTGCTCCACTTCTTTTCTTTTTTAAGATTTATTTATCTATTTATTTGAGAGTCAGAGTTACACAGAGAAAGGAGAGGCAGAGAGAGAGAGAGGTCTTCCATCTGTTGGTTCACTCCAAACGGATGGCCTTAATGGACGGAGCTGCACCTATCCGAAGCCAGGAGCCAGGAGCTTCCTCCGGGTCTCCCACACAGATGCAAGGGCCCAAGGACTTGGGCCATCTTTTACTGCTTTCCCAGGCCACAGCAGAGAGCTGGATCAGAAGAGAAGCAGCCGGGACTAGAACCGATGCCCATATGGGATGCCGGCACTTCAGGCCAGTGCTTTAACATGCTGCGCCACAGCACCCGGCTGCTACATTTCTGACCCAGCTCTCTGCTCCTGGGAAAGCAGCTTGGGCCCCCGCACCAGCACGTGGGAGACCTGAAGGAAGCTCCTGGCTTCAATTGGCCCAGCTCCAGCGGTTGCTGCCATTTGGGGAGTGAACCAGTGGATGGAAGATCTTTCTCTCTCTCTCTCCCTCTCTGTCTGTAACTCTACCTCTCAAATTAATAAATGTTAAAAGAGAGAAGAAAAGAAAGAGCGAGCATACGGACATGAACCAGGGCCGACATGGGATGCCAGTGTCCCAGGAGGCAGCTTCACCAGGTACGCCACGATGCCGGGCCCCTACCTTTAATTTTTAAGAAGAGGGGGATCACTGCTGTGGCTCAAAGAGTTAAGCTTCCACTTATGATCTCGGTATCTCTCCTCCGGTAGAGGAAAGGTGTGGGCAGAGGCTAGAGCAGGGAGAACCGCCAGCTTGGAAAGAGGGGAAACAGCCCGGGGAGAGCCAGCAAGTTGGTGGCCAGCTAACCCATACCCACCAAAACACCGGACACCACAGCAGCCGCAGGACCCGACCCCAGCCGAGGGCGGACCGCGCCCCGGAGCGACAGCGAAGACTCTCGCACGCTGGGGCCGGGGCCGGGGCCGGGGCCGGGGCCGGGCGGGGCGGGGCGGGGCGGGCCTGGGCTCCTGGCGCACGCGCACACGGGGCGCACGCGCGTGCGAGGCGGGGCCGGGGCCGGAAGAGGGCGCAGGAGCAAGCGGCGGAGCGCGGTTCTCGGAGGCCGGGTTCCGAATGGCGGCTCCTCAGCGGTTTCGAGTCCTGAGGTGCTGCAGCTGCCGCCTTTTCCAAGTGCACCAGGTGGGGTGGGCGCCGGCCTCCCCCTCCCCCCGCGCGGGGACGGTGGATGGGGTGTGGCGGTAGCTGGGGCCCGAGGAAGGGGCCGTGTCTGCCCAGGGCCAGATTTTACAGGTGTCGCTTCCCGCTAACGTCGTCCAGGGCTTTGTGCTTCAGGTGTTTGCTTGGTGGTTGTAGAAACCACGAGGTGCTGGCGTCTACAAGGGGCGGGCTCTGGTGAATGCTAGCAGGTGGCCGGGGAACCCAGGCCGAGGGCGGCACCCTCGTGGGCTCTGGGTTTAAACCGCAGAGACGCGACCGCTCTTCAATCTTGGCGCGCTCCTGGCCGCCGCCTGGGCGCCCCTCGCGGCCTCCCGGGGCTCTGCATCGACCTCCGTCCGCGAGCCGGGGGCTGTCGCTCAGCCCCTTCTCGGCGGCCTGCTGGGTGGCCCCTCTGCTGGACTTCGCTTCCTGGTTATGTGCTGATCTCTCTTTCCCCAAGATGCCGGCTTCTAGAAATAAACTCTCCTCTTAAAAAAAAAAAAAAAAAAGTGGGCTGTTGAGTAGGCATCTGTAAGAGTTCAACGCAAGCTGTTTTAGGTAAGGGCTGTTTTAGGGGCTCAAAGTTTTTAATTGCCCTTTTCCAGGTGTGTTTTAGGAGTTGAGACTTCGTGGAAGTCACTTGCGTTTTTAATTTGTTACACGTCTGTGATGTAGCGAGGCACTCGTGGGCATTTTCAGCTCTGTGGAAGGTGATTTGCGAGCAGAGGAAAGGAACGCAGCTGACTGCAGAGCGGCTGTGCGGTGGGCACCACCCCTGCATCCAGGATCGCTCCCATCCCGAGAGAAGGGCGAGGCGGCGCGGTCTCAGCAGCTGCTCAGTGGCGGAGGCAGACTGCGCCGCTCTGAAGATCTTGTGACACCGTACTGTCCCCAGTGAACTGCTCACCAGTGATGGTGTGCCTTTGCGGGTTTTCTGTAGACTTTATTTATTGAAAGGCAGAGAGGGAGAGATGTGAAAGAAGCCCCTGGCTCCCGGCCTCGGCTAGGCAGAGGGATGGGGAGGGAGGGGAGACAGAGATCTGTCTGCTGCTTCACTCCCCAGAGAGCCGCAGCAGCAGGGCCTTGGCCTGGTGGAAACCAGGAGCTTCCTCCAGGTCTTATTTAACTAGTTATTTTCTTGCATACAAGCTGTATTAATTTTTGTAGATTATATTAACTTTGTTCCTGTCCACTACTAGTTTTCTTAACTGTTTTCAGTAATTTCTCATTTCATTCTTTGATTTTCAGATTAAAAATATCATCTAGTGATAACTATAAATAATGATTAATGTTTATCTGTAAATAATAATTTTCATGCCTTAGTATGTTCTCTTTTTTAAAAAACAATTTATTTGTTTATCTGAGTTACAGAGAGGTAGAGGTAGAGAGAGAATCTTCCATCCACTGCTTCACTCCACAATTGGCCAAAATGGCCGGCACTGGGCCCTGAGACCAGGAGCCGGGAACTTCTGGGTCTCCCATGCAGGTGCAGGGGCCCAAGGAGTTGAGCCATCTTCTACTGCTTTCCCAGGCCTTAGCAGAGAGCTGGATCAGAAGAGGAACAGCCGGGACTAGAACTGGTGTCCATATAGGATGCCAGCACTGCAAGCAGCAGTTTTACTGGCTATGGCACAGCGCCAGCCCCTAGAAACAGTGGTAAATAATACTGGGATCCTCATCATGTTACTGGCTGTCATGGGAATACCAGTAGTGACTCTAGCTTTTCATGCTGGGTTTCAGATATTTTATATTCAGTGAGAACCCATCTGGTCAGGCTTATCAAGAATCAAAGGTAAATGTTACAGGATTTTTTTTTTTTTTTTTTTGAGAACCACAAGTGGTAGAGGTCTAAATTGATTTAGTTTTATATGAATAACCAGTTTTCCCAGCACCACTTATTGAATACTCTGTTCTCTCTCGTCTCTCCTCTCTTTTGTTTTATTTTTTTTTCGACAGGCAGAGTTAGACAGTGAAAGAGAGAAAGGTCTTCCTTCCATTGCTTCACCCCCCAAATGGCCGTCACAGCCAGTGTGCTGTGCCATTCCAAAGCCAGGATCCAGGTGCTTCCTCCTGGTTTCCCATGCAGGTGCAGGGGCCCAAGCACTTGGGCCATCCTCCACTGCCCTCCTGGGCCACAGCAGAGAGCTGGACTGGGAGAGGAGCAACGGGACAGAACTGGCACCCCAACCGGGACTAGAACCCTGGGTGCTGGCGCTGCAGGCGGAGGATTAGCCTAGTGAGCCGCAGCGCCGGCCTCATTTTTTTTTTTTTTTTAAGATTTATTTTGCAAGTCAGTTACATAGAGAGAGGGAGAGAAAATAGATATGCTCTATCCACTGGTTTGCTCCCCAGATGTTGTAACAGCCAGCACTGGGCCAGGCGAAAGCCAGTGTCTCCCAGGGGGGTGGCAGGGACCCAGACACTTGGACCATCTTTTGCTGCTTTTTCCCAGGCCATTAGCAGGGAGCTGGATCAGAAGTGGAGCGGCCGGAACACAAACTGGCGCCCATGTTACAGTCACAGAGGGGAAGGCAATGGCCAGAGCAAGTCTTGTGGGTTCTTTTCCTCAGCTTAGTATAGAAATAAAAAGCCAGGAAACAATTTGCAAAGAAGCAGAAACTTTTATTCGATTGACAAGCAACAGAGAAAGAATCTGGTCTGAGAGGAGACCAGGCAGAGTACCCAAGTGGGACACTGGCTTTGAGGAAGAGTCCCAGCTTTTTAGGGTGTTACTGTCTGTTCATTGGGTCATCCTATTGGGGGTGCCCACTGTACAGGGGGTTTCACATATGTATGTTGATTGGCTTGGGGCTCATGGAGATAATGGGGGTCTCCTGGAGACTGTGTATCTCCTTAGGGGCTCAGCCCCCTCATCTGCTAGCTCTGGCTGAAAGACTGAAACTAACCTGAAGGGATGGTTTAAAACCGCAGAGTAACACAAGATAGCCAGGGTCTCCTGGAGCCAGTCCAACTCTCCCCAGGGGCTTAGCCCTTCCCCTACCAGCTCTGGGTGAAAGACTGCACCCACCCTAAAGGTGGTGATTTAAAGCTGCAAGGTCACACCTGCAGCACAAGAAGCTGTCAGTGGGGGAGGTGCCAGTTGGTCTGGAGACAGGCTTTCCAGTCATAGCTGACAACTTGCTTGTGAAGAACATTCTACCTACGTCTGAAGGGGCCCACAGACTCCCAGCCCCACTGGCCAGCCTCAACCCATGTGGGATGTCAGCATTCCAAGTGGCAGCTTAACCTGCCACACCACACCTCTGCCCTCGTTGTTTTAATTGCCACCTTTCTAGTATGCTAAATTTCCATATATATGATGCCACTTGAGAAAATTCAGGGACAGGTGTTATGACACAGTGGGTTAAGCCACTGTTTGGGATACTTGCCTTCCATGTTAGAGTGTCAGCTTGAGTCCTAGCCTCTCTGCTTCCAATCTAGCTCTCTGCAAATGCACCTGAGAAACAGCAGATGATGGCCCAAGTACTTGAGTCCCTGCCATCCGCATGGAATTGTTGGCTCCTGGCTCTGGCCTAGCCCAGCCCAGCTGTTGTGGTAATTTGAAAGGTAAACCAAGCAGATGGAAAATCTGTCTGTCCCTCTCTCTGTCACTTTGCCTTTCAAACAAAGAAAATTTTTAGACAAATGAAGTTAAAAATAAGTTTATTTTGGTGAAAAAATAATTTTGAAATCGTATCTACAAGGGGTCTTCAAAGAGTTCATAGAAAATGCATATTATGAAAGAGTAGGCATGGAATTCAAATTTTGTCCCAAAATAGACTTTATCTTTTAATTCAATTTGTCCATGAACTTTTTTGAAGTACCCTCATGTATGTTGGTTTGCTTCTGGATTCTACTTCCCATTGATCTTGCAGAATTTTTGCTGATCCACTTCCACCTTGTTTTAAATAATTAATCTGTGGGGCCAGCATTGTGGCACAGTAGGCTCAGCTGCCACTTGGGGTGCCAGCATCCCGTAACAGGGCCAGCTTGAGTCCTGGCTGCTCTTCTTCGGATCCCTGCTAATGTTCCTGGGAAGGCACTGGATAATGGCCCAAGTACCCGAATGGAGCTCTGACATCCTGACTTTGGCCTGGCCCAATCCCAGCCATCTGGGGAGTGAACCAGCAGGTTGAAAAGCTCTCTCTCTCTCTGTTTCTCTCTGACTCTGCCTTTCAAATAAATAAACATTTCATTTTATTTATTTATTTATTTATTTAAGGAAAAGAGAGAGGGAGAGATAGGTCTTCCATCTACTAATTCACTCCTCAAATGGCTGCAACGGCCATGGCTGGGTCAGGCCAAAGCCAGGAGCCAGGAGCTTCCTCCGGGTCTCCTAAAGTTAATCTTTTAGAAATTAAATAATAAACTCATTATATGAGTTGTGTTTCTGAAATTGCCTTGCAGCTGAAGAAGAGTCTCAAATGGACATGCAAATCATGCGGAGAGAAGCAGTCCTTTTTGCGGGTAAGTCATGAGGAGCAGAGGCTGGTGGCGTCCCAGCATTCCACGCCTGGGATTGCTTTCTGTCACATGAAGTTCAGCAGACTGAGTGCTCTGTGAAATGGACAGAGCAGTGCCTGGTGAGACAGTGTTGCCTTTGTTTTCTTTATTCAGCAAGAATGTGTTGGGTGCCTTCTGTGTGCCAGGCACCTAGAAACAGTGGGCACCAAGACGCTTAATGTTCTTGCGTTCATATAGAAGGGGAAGAGAGGGTAACACACGAGCACACAGGCACACGCACGCATGTAACCTAAAGCTAGGCCGAGCACGGTGGAAGGAAAGTACAGGGGCCTGCAAGAAGATAACAAGGGAGTCAGAGCGAGCAGGATGGAGGGGAGAGTGGGCTCAGGGGGCCACGGTGGTCAGGGAGCCTGGGCTGCCTGCTCTCCTTCAGTTGCTTTTCCCCGACCTTGCGCACAGTTTTCAAGTCTGCACGTGTTGACCTCAACTGCGTCTTGTCTTTTGCTCCATGGAATCACAATTCCCACTCAGTTTGCCAGCTCCAGCCCAGTGCTGCCTCTCCCACCTCATCTCTCGTCCTTGTTCTGCTTCTTTCTGACCTGAAACAGTCCAGCTTCTCTCCTCAGGGCCTCTGTGCCCAATGTCATTATGCTGATCAGGGGTTAAGTGTCAATGTCTTCTGGTGAGTACTGTCCTTTGCAGACTGTGGGTTGCAAGAGGCTTTGCCTACATTATTCACTGTGTGCCCCTAGCACTTAGCACAGTGCCTGGCACATCGCCAGTGCCCCATAAATACTTGTTAGGCAAGTCACTAGTTTCAGATTGATGGGCATTTATGTCCCTAGGACAGAAATCCTAGAAATGAAATTGTTGCTTTAGAGGATATCTTTTGATCAGGGTTCTATTCATTGCAAATAATAGACACAAACATTTCAAAATAGCTTTAGCAAAGATGTTTTTCAAATGTGCTGTCCATAATGGGGTGCCTTAGGGAAGGCCCAAGGGCACAACTTCATCCCTGAACCCTTGAAAGAAAAGCTGCCAACAGCCAGGCATCATCTTCTCCTCCTTCTCCTCCCCCTTTTTCTCCCTGTGTTTGCCTCCTCCTTCCCTTTCCCCACTCCCTCCCTTCCTGTTTGTTCCCAGATGGTTCACAGTAACATCCTCCACTCAGAGAACGCAGACTCATTCTGAGCCAGCTGGAGTAGCTGACTCCCAATTACAGATTCCTGGGAGAAGCCATCCCCTGGGCCCTGGTTCACTCAGATGTCCATCTCTGGTCCAACCAACTGGGGAGGGTGCCAGGGGTGGGGGCTGGCTCCTCAGCTAGGCAGACACCCCACAGTGGCTGCAGCTTGTCCGAGGTGTCACTGCATTTCTCAGCTCTTCACGAGGAAGACTTCATCTCAGGGCCTCCAGGCCTGTGCAGTGGTCACAGCAGCAGTCACACACCTGAACTGTCCTGGGAGGACGTTGACGTGTGGTCACTGGGATCCCGGCTTCTGTCTTCTGCAGCTGCCGCCAGCAACTAGAAGTGGCGGGAGCATGGGGGAGCTACCCAGGTAGGGTGGGACCTGCAAGTGGCTGACATGGGAAAGAGCCTGGTCTCCTGGCCATTCCTGGCCCCAGGGCACCCTGGGGAGTGAAGTCTTCATTCTGTGCCAGAGAGGGGAGGCTGTGAGTGTGTGGCAGAGCATCCCCTGGTGGTCATACAGCTCTTTCAACTCTGCCATTCCTTGTCTGAAGTTGCTGCAAGCAGGATTGCTCTCCCCACCAGCCGCCGCAGTTGTTCTGTCCACGTCAGCGATGATCTCCATGTTGCTAAAGGCCAGCAGGTAGTTCTCAGTCCTCACGTGACTTCACGTCCTGGCAGCCCCTTGCAACATGCTCTGCTGCTCTGCTTCCTGCCCTGCCAGTTGCTGTTCCCTTCCTCCCTGTCTAGTCACTGGAGTGCTCTGAATGTAACCTCTTAACCTCTCAAAGTGACCCAAGGTAAGATCATCTGACAACTCAGCTGCATGCAGGACACCCCGACCCAGTCGCTGCAGGATACGTAATTGGCGTCTCACGTGTCACATGATGTCTGATGGTGCCCACAGCCATCGCGTCCCTTCAGTGCTGAGTCCTTCTTTCTGGAGGGTTTGGATTAAAAACATCAAAGACACTCTTAGCTCTATATTTATACTCTTCATACAAAATATTCAGGGCTGTGGCGTAGTGGGTAAAGCTGCTGCCTGTAGTACCAGCATCCCATATGAGCGCTGGTTCAAGTCCTGGCTGCTCCACTTCTGATCCAGCTCTCTTGCTATGGCCTGGGAAAGCAGGCCCTTGCATCTTGGGCCCTTGCATCCGTGTGGGAGACCCAGAAGAAGCTCCTGGCTTTGGATTGGTGCAACTCCAGCCATTGCTGCTGATTGGGGAGTGAATCAGCGGATGGAAGACCTCTTTCTCTCTCTATCTGCCTCTCCTTCTCTCTGTGTGTAACTCTGAATTTCAAATCTTTAAAAAAATTTCAATCCCCATAGTCTAGTCCAACGGCAGTTTTTGTTGGCTTCTTCCTGTAGCCCTGGTCCTCACCTCGGTGAGTGTAGTAGCTTCCTAACTGCCCTGCCTCTGTCCTGCACCCTCTCTCAACACCACAGCCAGAGGGATCCTCTACTCAGAGCCTTCCGGGTTGGAACAAAATCCATAATCCTATATATAGGACCAGCTGTGTTAAGTTTTTGGGGAGCCTAAAATGTGGAGCCCCTTGTTCAGAAAGCAGGAAAAAGTGCTGTTAAAGAGACTAAAATACAAGGCCTTTTTCTTTTTCAATCTCTCTTTTTATGGAAGGCAGAGAGAGAAACAGAGATCGCCTATCAGCTGATTTATTCTCTAAATGCCTGCAACAGCTGGGGCTGGGCCAAGTTGAAACCAGGACCAGGATCTCAGTCTGGGTTTCCCACACGGTTGACAAGGACCCGATTACTTGAGCGTCACCTGCTGTTCACTAGCAGGAAGCTGACCCTGGGAGCAGAGCTCAGGCCTGGACCCAGACACTGTGGTATGGGATGCGGACATCGAAAGTGGGGTCTGAACTGCTGTGCCACATGTCTAGCCCTGTGGCCTCTCTAGATTTTTCGTAGTTTTTATTTAATATCTTCCTATTTAAAGAAAGCTGACATTCTAATTTATTAGCATGATTTTACTGTTCCTCTATTTTAAATAGTTATAAATCAATTTTAAAACCAATTTATAAAACCAATTTTAAACAGTTGTAAGTCACTCAGTACACTGGTGGAGCCATCGGAATGGCATAGTGTGAGCCACAGCTCTTGTGTGCTGGTGTGATTCACTAACCAGAGCCGTGGGAGTGCTCACAGTTTAATTCTGCCGCTTTTACTGCATTTCTTGGTGTGTACACCTTCTACCTGCACTCTGCTTCTGGCTTACTGGGAAGGAAGGAAGGAAAGGAAAAGGCGCTATGGGTGGCCCCATCTTTCCCTTGCCTTCTGCCGCACCCTTTTCAGCCTAGCAGATTGACTAAGGCAGAGAAGTAACACAAGCAAAAAAGGATATGGCAGTGCATTGAGGGTTTATGATCCCTAGAGCCTCACTGCCACCATTCTGCCTTTGCAAGAAGCTCTGGTTCCAGGGGAAGAGTCTGGCCTCTCCAGCTGTCAGTACCCTTCCCCTACCCCAGCTCTGAGTCTCTATGAACTCCCATACAGTGAGTCCACAGGAGTTACGTGTCCATGGGACATGGAGAATTCGCCTGCAGGTGGCCACACACACGCTCTGTTGTCTACTGGACTTCATTTATAGAGCACACACTCAAGATCAAATCACTGTCTCACATATTTCAGCAGCTGGGCGGTTAGCATAGTAGTTAAGGTGGCATGTTGTGATAGTGCCTGGCTTTGATTCCCAGCTCTGGCTCCTGACTCCAGCCTCCTTCTAATGCAGACCCTGGGAAGCAACAGTGATGGCTCAAGTAATTGGTTCCTGCCACACACACGGTAGGCTTGGAATGAGTTCTTGTCTCCCAGCTGTTGCAGGCATTTGGGGAGTGGACCAGTCTCTCAAATAAATGGAAACTTAATTTAAAAAGAATTTCAGATTGGCAGCAGCAGAGCAGGTCCCATGCCCACAAAGGTGACATTCATGTGGAAGACCCTGCCAGCTTCCCCTCAGACCGCTCAGTTCCAGTCTCACTAGTCTCCCACATGCCAGGCTGAGGGTCTCTGCCTTCCTTTCCGTCTCATTGTTTCTGCTGGGACGGTCTTCCCCAGCTGTGCGTGTGACTCACTCGCCCATATCTCCTGTTTGTGCTCAAATTTTGCCTTCTCACTGGCCCATTCCTTGCACACCCTGGAGGCCCTGTGTCGAATGGCATCCATGTTCCTAACTCTGCCCGCCCCCATTCTTTGCCTTACCCAGGAGCACCTACTGCTGTCTGATAAGCCAGACATTTTACCTAGGTGGGATCTTCAAAACGTTCATGGAGATGCATATTTTGGAAAACACTGTACATGGAATTTAAAAATTCTTTTGTACCAAAATAAACTTACCTTTTATTTTCCATTTTTCACAAACATTTTGAAGTACTCTCTCCTTTTTAAAAAAATACGTATTTATTTATTTGAAAGGCAGAGTTACAGAGAGACAGAGGCAGAAAGAGAGAGAGGTCTTCCATCTGATGCTTTGCTCTCCAAATGGCTAAAACGGCCAGAGCTGAGCTGACCTGAAGCCAGGAGCCAGGAGCTTCTTCTGGGTATCCAAAGTGGGTGCAGGGGCCCAAGGACTTGGGCCATCTTCTACTGCTTTCCCAGGCCACAGCAGAGAGCTGGATCAGAAGTGGAGCAGCCGGGACCCAAGTGGCTCCCATATGCCACAGCACCAGCCTCGGTTTTTTTGTTTGTTTTGTTTTGTTTTTAATTGCCATTCTCTTGCCAGAACATCCACTCCTTGAAGACACTGAGTTTTGTCCACTACAGTATTGCAGTGCATTTTCCATAGCTAGACCAGGGCCTGGCACATAGTAGCTGTTCAGTAAATACTAAATGAACAAGTGGCTGCCAAGAGGAACAAAGGCATCTCATTTGATGTTGTGTTCTTCTGGTTATCAATGACAGGGAGTATCCTTTAATGGGGTATCCTTTATGGTGATTTGTATAATTTCCCTGGGGACTTTTTTGTTTTGTTTTGTTTTAAGGGAAAGGTTTATTGTCAGGTGGGGGAAACCTGACAGGTAGGGGGGAGCGAGAGAGAGCACATGTACAGGAAGCAGGTGGGGACCTTTTTAATTCATGTTCTTTAGCCATTTTGTGCAGAGCTTGGGGTAGAGCTCAGTACTAGTGGGGCAGTCAGAACTAAATTATCAGTCTGGAGCTAGTTCATTTGTCGGCCACCCTAGACATAGCTGTTGGTCCTAACGATCCGCACAGCCTGCTTCAGGCTTCTTTGGGCCTTGGAGAACACGGTGTTGTCCTTGCTGAGACTCATCTCACACGCATCTGTTCTGCACGCCCGGCCAGCGCTTTTTAAACTCAACAGTGTTGTTTCTTTTGCTTCGCAGGCTTACGGTGAGGGCTCCGGGGCTGACTGCAGACGCCATGTCCAGAAATTAAACCTGCTGCAGGGACAGGTTTCAGAGATGTCACTCAGGTAGAGTTTTGAGAGGAGCGCAATTATCTTGCTCTTCCTGATAACTGGATAGTGGGTGTGTGCTTTGTCTGTAAACTCACACAGTGGAGAAAACCCATAGGTTTCCATGTCTTGCAATAAGAGGGTACTTCACAAAGTTTGGGGGAAATATGCATTATCTTTAATGACATTCTCCTGTGAATTTTTCGTCATACTCTTATACAGTGGCTTAAATACCTTGAGCAATTCTCTCAGTAAAAATAACTAGACCACCGGCACCGCAGCTCAATAGGCTAATCCTCTGCCTTGCAGCACTGGCACACCGGGTTCTAGTCCCGGTCGGGGCACTGGATTCTGTCCCGGTTGCCCCTCTTCCAGGCCAGCTCTCTGCTATGGCCCAGGAGTGCAGTGGAGGATGGCCCAAGTCCTTGGGCCCTGCACCCGCATGGGAGACCAGGAGAAGCACCTGGCTCCTGGCTTTGGATAAGTGTGGTGCACTGGATGCAGCGCACTGGCCACGGCGGCCATTGGAGGGTGAACCAATGGCAAAGGAAGGCCTTTCTCTCTCTCTCACTGTCCACTCTGCCTGTCAAAATAAATAAATAAATAAAATAAAAATAACTAGACCAGGGGACTGCAGTATTTTAACTGCACTGATGAGCTGGCAGGAGAGTAAGAGCCAGGATCCAGAAGGGAGCCCCTGAGCTGCTGTGATTGAAGGCCTCTTTTAGACAGCCAGAGGACTGCAGGAGACCAAAGACAAAGTGTAGGCCCGGTCAGCAGGAGCCCTCCATGCAGCGACTGGACTCTCAGGTACAAATACGTTCCCGCTGTGCAGCAGGGCTCCGCTGAGGAAAGAGGACTCGCTCTCCATGATTCTGGAAGCCTTCCTGGTCTTTCAGCCCTTACACACCTCCCGCTGTGTGAAAAGCCTCTAGCTGAGCATTTACATTTCAGATGCTCTGGGAAACTGAGGTATGTACAGCTCCTCTGCAGCAACACATCTTTCACCCTGGCTTCGAAGAAGTCCCCCAGGTAGAATTCCAAGGAGCATAGACTCAGAGTTACAAATCATTATACACTCAAGAGAACATGTCAGAGCAGACCCAGTAACAGGTGGCTCAGAAAAGCCAGAGAGCAAGGACTGCAGCATGCGTAACATTGCATGTGTAATACACTTGACAAAAGAGGGAGTTAACAGCTGATAGAGGGACATTAAAAATAACTAAACACATTTGAAAAAGAACCAAAAACAGTTCATGGAAGATTTTTTTAGAAAGAGTTATTTGTTTGATAGAGTAACTAGAGAGACAGAGAAATCTTCCGCTTGTCCACTGGACACAATGACCAGCATTAGGCCAGAACAGAGCCAAGAGCCTGGAACTCCGTCTGGGTCTCCCACATGGGTGGCAGGGGTCTAAGTACTTGGACCATCCTCTGCTGCCTTTCCAGGCATATTAGCAGGGAACTAGATCAGAAGCAGAGCAGCTAGGGCTTGAAACAGTACTGATAGGGGATGTCAGCGTCATAAGTAGAGCTTAACTCTGCACCACATACTGGCCTCCAGTTCTTAAAGGTAGAGGGCTGGTATTGTGGTGTAGTAAGTAAAATTGCCTCCTGAGACACCCATAGGGGCACTGGTTTATGTCCTATCTGCTCCATTTCTGATCGCTGCTAATGGCCTAGGAAAAGCTGTGGAAGATAACCCAAGTGTTTTGGCCCCTGCCACCCACGTGGGAGACCCAGATGAAGCTCCTGGTTCCTGGTTTTGGCCTATCCCAGCCCTGGCTGTTGCAGCCATCTAGGGAGTAAACCATTAGATAGAAGCACTCTCGTTCTCTGTCTCTCCCACTCTGTAATTCTGACTTTCAAATAAATAAATCAATCTTAAAAAAAAAATAAAGGTAGAATCATTGAAATTAAACATGCAAGAGACAGGTTAAACATTAAATGCAGCTGAGGAGAGAATTCATTGAAATGAAAGATGAATTTGAAGAAATTATTCACAACACATCACAGGATGATTAAAAGGTAGAAGTTAAGGCACATGCAGAACACAGAAGAATTCCAGCAAGAAGGAATAAAGAAGTGGTAAAAGCTCTACTGGAAGAGTTAATAGTGTGGAGAGTTTTCCAGGATTAAAGGCTTAACATTCTTAGATTCAGGAAACAATAAATTACAAACCATATAAAGCCCCTATGTTATTTGCAAGCAGCATAATGGGGCATGTAGGAACTCTTATGAATGTAGAAAACAACTAGAACTAATATGTTGGCTTAACATGATCACAATGATACAAGATCAATATGAGAAATTATATTTATGTAAACACAGTGAACAATTGGGAAATAATTTAAAATTTTTTCAGAATATTATCAAAAATAAAATACCTGGGGATGAATATAACAGTAAGGATGCAAGATCTATTTGGCAAAAAGAACAAAACATTGTTCAGGGAAGTTGAAGATTTAAATTAATGAAAAGGTATAACATTTTCATGGCTTGGAAAATTAAGGTATAACATTTTGGATTGTTGAGCTGTCACTTTGTCCTAAATTGAACTAGAGAGTTAATCTAGTCCCACTCAGAGTCCCAGCAAGCTTTTTTTTTTTTTAAGGAAATTGGCCAACTGATCCTAAAATTTATATAGACAAGCAAATGACCAAGAATGACCAAAACAATTTTGATAAAGAAGAATAATGTTGGAGGACTTCTACAACCTGACTTAAAGATTGACTGCAGTACAAGGACACAAGGCCAACATGTGAAATTATGTTTCTATAAAAATGCAGTGATCAGTTGGAAAAATTACTGGAAAAGGACTAGACATTTAGACACATCAGCAGGTGGATGGATGAACAGCTGTACATTCATCCAAGGGGTACCATGCAGCAACAGCACCTCCAGTGGCAGATCTCAGAACAGCACTGTAGGAGGCTGCTGAACAGAGCCATGTTACTCCAGAGTCAACGGCACACGCTGCACAGCGGACAGCTCACTGCAGAAGTAAATGAGGGAACTTTTGAGGGTGATCAGGATTTTTCTGTATCTTGGTTGAGGTAGCAGTTATAAAGATATAGCCTATCAAAACTATACACTTAATGGGTACATTTCAATATATATGAATTAAACCCCAACACGTTCATTTTAAAAGTTAAATACAAATCCGTCTGTTGGCACAGCATAATGAAGTTGCAGGAGCCAGAAGACAGAGGGAAGGAATGAAAAGCAGCTGGAAAAAAGAGGGCTCATTATCTGCTTCCCAGTGGAAGCACTGGACGAGAAGGCGGGCTCTCTCCAGAGTGCGGAGATGTCCTTTAGCTGCTGGAGTGAGTTCTTAAATCAGGCAGCTGTGCAGAGTGCTGGCCACTCACTGGTTGGACGGTGCTCACCAGAACTGAGTCTCCGCTGTAGGTCAGGAAAGGCGTTTCTGCCTGCATCACCTTGTTTCATCCTCATAATAGCCCTGTGTGGACCAATGACTTAGGACAAAGTAACTGGGATAGAGGTGCTCACTAGAATGAGTTTCATGTGATGATGTGATGTAACAACCCACATGCATGAACGTGGCCTTGATGTGTGAGGACTGGGGCCTGTAGTCCTCACAGTGGCCCCACCCCTTGCTCATCTTTCTGATGTGAAGAGCCCTCGCTGTTGGCCCCGGGAAGCTGGCGGGGGCCACTCTGACTTGGCAAGCTCAGCGGAATTCTTTCTGTGACTACAAGACTTGTGTGACCTTGTCCCATGAGGACATCCCCATGTTGATGGGAAGAACCCTGGGTTTCAGGAGTCTTGAGCAGGGGATATGCATGTAGCTTGTTTCATTTATCTTTGCATCATAGACACAATATTATCTACAACTGTGGATGAGGAAAGTCAAATACAGTGATGGACCCAAAGTCTGATGAACCACGCAGCTAGTCGCTGTCAAAGCTAAGATGCCAATTCCAGTCTGCAAGTGGAGGGCACACCCTCTCTGCCCCATGTCTTGGTCCCTGTTGGTGGAGGGCTTGACGGTGCTCAATCAGAGGAAACAAACAGCTCCTCTCCCCAGGCCCTCTGAGCTGCTGCAGGACAACCAACTCACACCAGACTGCAGAGATCAGTCCCTGAGGTCCCCAGAACAGTCTCTGAGTGTCAAGTCCTTACATTCTGCCATTTTCATCTTCGTTGTCCTTCCTCTTTCTGGTCATTTTACAAAAGGCATATGTATGCTCTTCCTCTAAGGTCTCTGGGAGGTTTTAGAAGTGCCAGTGAAGAAGAAATTGGAGGTTACCAGCAGGCTGAGAATGTGAACCCTCAGGTAAGCCAACAGCTTCTGTCCCAGCTTAAGACAAGTAGTTCTATTTATATATTGTCAAAGAACAAAATCACTTCATTTGATTTGGTTTGAGTTTTGCAGTTCTAGAATCAGGCAAAACTTCATTCCATAGACTATAGCAGAAGGGTTGGTTTCATAGAGAAAGTCTGAAGAAAGCAGAAACAAACAAACAACAGGGTAGATAGGTCGTTTTGAAGTTGCTTTCCTTATAGGGTGGAGACAGGGCAGGGAGACAGAACAGCAGGAAACTGATGTGTTAGCATCACGTCACCCTGTGTGGTAAGGGTTAAAGAGGTGGCCTGTTTGGGAAATGAGGCCATTCTCTCCTGATTTCTCACAAGGCCAGGTGACACCTGCTCTGGGGACATGGGGGCAGCCTTTTCATGGGTGACTCCATTTTTATTTTTAGTCTGGTCTCTTGAGGCACAGTGCAGGAGCTTGCTGCAAAACAGTGGCTCCTGCAATTTTTATTTGTTAGCTGTACATTCAGCAAACCCTTACTGATGCCACTCACTGGTGACAAGCAAAGCAAGAGGGAACAGAAAAACATAACCTGTCCCTTTTGTAAGGGTGAGATAGATAGGTCCACAGATCGGTACTGTGCAGAAAGGGGCTTTCTCTGTGCTTGGGGAGAGCTCCTCCTGAACTCCACGTGCAGCTCCTGCTGTGTTCCCCTAGCCCTCCAGGCACCTCTGATGGGAAGAGGCTGGTGTAAGCTACCCGGGGTCCCCTGTCCCCTTGCTCCACTTGAGAGCAGAGTCACATGGAATTGTGGAAAAGAGGCAGGCAGGCGCAGAAAGGTGCTTGGGCAGCATGCCGGCAGTGTGCGTGTGAGCTTTAGTGAGAAGGAGCTGACATCATTGGTCCATCCAGGATGCCAGGCCACGGGGACAACTGGTCCCTGCAGGACAGCCTCCACCTCTGCTCCCAGGACCACTCTGGCCACCCTCTTCCCACTTGGTCTTCTAGGCTTTATTAAAGATTTATTTTATTTGGAAGGCAGAGTTACAGAGAGGGAGAAACAGAGATCTTCCATCCACTGGTTTATTCCCCAAATGGCTACAAAGTCTGGGCCTGGGCCAGGCCGGAACCAGGAGCTGGGAGCTTCATCTGAGTCTCCCACATGGGTACAGGGGCCCAAGAACTTGGGTCATCTTCCGCTGCTTTCCCAGGCACATTAACAGGGAGCTGGATCAGAAGTGAACAGTGGGGGCTTGAATCAGTGCCCATATGGGATGTGACCGCTGCAGATGGCAGCTTAAACCGCTATGCCACAGCGCTGGCCCCAATTTTCATTTTTTAAAAACAGTGGGGGCCGGCACTGTGGTGAAGTGGGTAAAGCTGCCGCCTGCAGTGCCGGCATCCCATATGGGCGCCAGTTCAAGTTCCGGCTGCTCCACTTCCAGTCCAGCTCTCTGCTATGGCATTGGAAAGCAGTAGAAGATGGCCCAAGTCCTAGGGACCCTGTATTCGTATGGGAGACCGGGATGAAGCTCCTGGCTTCGGCCAGTATGGCCATCTGGGGAGTGAACCAGTGGATGGAAGATTCATTCTCTCTCTCTTTCTCTCTCCCCTTCCCTTCCTCCCTCTCCCCCTCCCTCCCTCTCTTTCTCTTTCTCCGCCTTTCAAATAAGTAAATCAGTCTTTAAAAAGGCAGTGAAAGGTGGGCTGCAGGTAATGATCCCTTCATATGAGGGAATGAGATTGTCTCTGCACTTCACCAGTGTAAATGCCATTCACCGTCATCTGTGACACCGTGATGAACATCCTGTGTCTTTGCTGTCCATATGGGGTCACTGGGCCAGGGAATGTGGACATTGGAGGTTTTGACAGGTTGGGCCCTGCTGCTCCAAGGTCTGGCCCAGTGTGCACTACCTGCTGGTGAGAAGGGACACGTGGGTCCGGAGCCCCTGGGGTGTCAGAGGTTCAGTAGATGTGCTTGCTTTCCGACTCTGAGAACAGCCTCTTCCCAACACTTAGGGACAGTCACAGCCCTCTGAGAGCCGCTGGCTGAAGTTTCTGGACAAGGACTCCCCAGCACTGGAACCAGGAGGAGTGTGTTTCCACAGACAGCTTTCATCCAAAATGGAGGATCCAGACCCTCCCTTCAGTCAAGAGCTGCCCAGAAAAAGGTACCCAGCGCGTCACTGGTCCAGGTGTAGCCAGTGCTCTCACTGAGTCCCAGAATGGAGACTGATGAGACACTGCTGGCGGCAGCCAAGTGGGAGAAGCCTGGGAGGTGGGGGCGGGGGTGCACTGCACAGGGGCCGGCATGGCACCCCTTATAGGGGTGCTCACCGAATTCTGAACAGCTCAGACAACTCACCTCACAGAACTGGGTTTAAGGGAAGTGGCCAGGGTAGCTGGCGAGCCTGGGAACTTTAACCTAGAGAAGCAAAGACCACAGACTCCACAGGAGGTGGCCGCCTCTGCTCCAGACTCCCCTGTGCAGCTCAGCTTTCAGGAGAGACGGCCTGAGGCTGAGGATCCGCTGTGGTCCTTACAGAGGAGGTGCTTTGGGGAGGTAGATTCTGGACAAACCATAGGGCAGAGAAGTGCCACAGCCTGTTGAAGGAGGGGGCAGGACTGAGCAGCTGCCTAGAGGCTGTAGAGGTGAGGCTCCCTGCTTTGCTGTGTGCAGCCAGGTTGCCACTCAGGCGGCCATGGGGGACTGTAGTGACAGGGCTGGACTGCTGACAGCACTTTCCTTCTGCCAGGAAATGGAGCCCAAGCACAGCCCAGACGGCACACAGCTGTGATACCCCAGGCCTGGGCGACGCCGAGGGCACCTGGGAACCCCGTAAGGTTGGTGTTGGGGACCAGCACTTCCCTTCTGGTCCCAGGGATCACAAGCATACGCAGGAATGTCGAAGTATGAGGTTTTTACTCCCACAAAGCACAGCTTCCTTCCTGAGGCTCTGGTCTTCAGCTCCTTTCTCTGGGCTCTGCCCCATCTCGCTCCCTGCTCTTCTTCCCCATGGAATTAACTGACAGCCCAAAAGGCATCGTGATACCTGGGCGTCACCTGAGGTCGGCCCGGCTTTGCCTCACACCCCCGCTGCGCCTTCACTCCCCAGGTACATACTCTCACATTAAAGGCACCCTGGTCACTCAGGGTGTGTTCCTGTTCCTCATGCTTGAACCTAGCAGACCCCGCTGCATTCAGTGCTGCAGACCCAGGTTTTGCTTTATGCTGTCCTGGGAGCGTGAGCATGAGGCTGCCCTCGCCCAGCCTTAGCACAGATCACGCAGACCACAGGCTCAAAGCCAGGAGGCAAGTTCAAATTTTGGTGTTGCCAGGACTAGGTTTGTGACCCTAAGTATGTGGCTCTAAATCTCCAAATGATAGAATATGGCAGAGCCATTGTCTTGCAGTCCCTGGGTTAAACATGAACTGTGTCATTGTGTCTAATGCTCATGTCAAGTCTGTGGTGCTCAGAGAAAGGAAGCAAGTTCAGTGGCAAAGCCAGTGTCAGGTATCAGGGATGGACGCAGGCCTCTTCCTCGTTGTTGATGCCTGGGTGGCAATGTTGCAAGGACCCACTCTGGGGTGGCTTTCAAATAAATCCTATAGTTAAGTAGTGAAACCTAATTTTTCAGGACATCTTTGTTTGCTAAACGGGAGACGCTGGACCCCAGCACCGTTGGCCTGTCCCATGGGGAGCACAGCAGCGTTCTGAGGTGTCCTCTCCAGCTGGGGAAGGAGCAGGCAGGTGGAGTCGGCCTCCATCCACTTCCGGGCGGTCTCCAGGCCCTGCCTACTTGTCCTTCCTGTCAGGCACCCCTGACCTGACCTAAGCTCCCTGGACACAGGCCACTGGGGACATGGGAATGTCTTTCCTGGAGCCTGTCCTGGAATTTAGCTGAGGGTTTGGGATGAGGCAGAGGGCGTTATTCACTGTGCACACCTAAGCCTGCCAGTCTGAGGACTTCCAAGCAGCTGAGCGCAAATGCACAAGGGATAAGCAGCAGCTCAGAAACAAGGCCCAGCAGCTGGTCCCACTGGGCACCCGGAGGACACAGCTGGCTTCTCTTGATTTGTTTCAGGGCTCCACCGGCCTGACCAAGAAGGTGAAGGAAGACGGCAGTCATTGCTTCCAGAACTCAGTGGCCTGCAGCACCAGGGAGCTCCGTGTTCCTCGGGAGGAACTGCCAAGTCCAGCCTGGCAGGTTAAGGCTACATCTTCTAAATGGACAAGATATCTCCCATCTCCTGTGGACAGCTCACAGGTGGACACAGAGCCACAAGAACCAGCAGAGAGAGGACTCAGGACAGCAGGTCCAGCACAGGCTGAGCAAGGGACCCAAACCCCAAAGGAAAGCTGGGAAGCAGCCACTGTCCAGTTTCCTCAAGTCACACACACTCCCAGGCCTGGGTCCGAGAGGCCCTCTGGGAATTCCCCTGAGCAGTGGTGGGGTATGAGGACTCAGGCAGAGGGTGGGTCATCGGTGCCAGTGTCACAGACCCCTCCAGCCCTCCAGCTATGTGACCTCTTTACAACAGGGGAGGATTTCAGCGATGATCTGTGAGCAGAGGCCCGGATGTTACTGATAACAGACAATCCTGGTACAAGAGCGCCTCTGCTGGACCAAGAAATGGGCAGCTCCCTACGGTGCTCATTTCAACATGAGTAACCTGTGAAAACCAGAGTAGGACAAGGACACTGCTGACTAAAGTGCTCATAGCATTTAATTACAGATTGCTTAGAAATGTGGTAACAAGATGGCTACACATTAGAGTCATCATAGCAGTGAGGCAGGAGGCAGCCCTCGGTGGAACCCACACCCACACTTCCTCTTACAAGCTGGTCTCCCTCGAAGTGCGAGACCCTCTGGACTGGCTGCAGGGCAGCCCCCCTCAGTCTATCAGGTTTCTGGCAGCAAATCATCTAGATGTCAGTGCACTATCAGAAAGCAGAAGGCCACGAGGCAGGCTGTATTCTTGACTGCTTGTGTGAGGCTGGCAGGGAGCCAGTGCCTGCCCCTGCTGGGCCACCAGTAGCTGCAAAGCCAGGACACTCAAGAGCAGGTGCGTGTTTGACAGACATCAGCACACACACGGAACTCGCCTCGTGTCACTTGTGCTACTGACCTGAATGGCCTCATGCGTGCCCACCCCCTTAGATTCTGGAGAAGAATGCAGAGAAACTGGCCCTTAGGGAGGCCCTGCTGTTCTACACTAGCTCAATGCAACTAGGTGACAGAAGATAGGCTGGGAAGATGTTGTCACAACGGTGGTGGGTGCTTCGAATACTGGATGGTGTCCAGGGCAGCCCCGATGTCGTAGTTCTTGGTCTGCAGAAGCCTGGTGAGCCAGCCACCTTCATCCGAGAAGCCCATGGACAGCATCTGAGACAGGGACTCGATCAGCCGGGGGTCAGCCTCTGCCAGAAACAGGAGCAGAGTCAGTGAAGGAGCGTCACCAGGCCAGGGAATGATCCCAAACCCAGCAGAGTGGCCTTCAGCCAGCGTGTCCCCAGAGCCTGTCCAGGGCTAACCCTGTGTTGACCTGCTTCACCTGCACAGGCCCTCCGAGGCGGGAGCCAGTAGGCTTCCCTGCAAAGATTCAGAGTAGACATCCCAGGCCGGCTTAGGCAGGCCACAGTCTTCATTACTGCTCCTAAACGCTGCCAGGCAGCAGGGAAGAGTGAGCATGGTTGTGTTCCAATAAATATGGGCAGTGAAATGTCAGCTTCATCTAACTGTCATATGCTTTGTTTAAAAAAATATTTATTTTGAAAGAGTTACAGAAAGGGAGAGACAGAGATCTCCACCTGCTGTCCCACTTGCCAGACAGCCACAATGACCAGGGCTGGCCAAGCTGAAACCAGGAGCCAGGAGCTTCATCTGGGTCTCCCATGTGGGTGGCAGGGATCCAAACACGTGGGCCATCCTCAGATGCTTTTCCCTGGGCCATCAGCAAGGAGTTGGATGGAAGGTAGAGCAACCAGGACAGGAGCCAGCACCCATATGGGATGCTGGCATTGCAAGCAGTGGCTTTACCCAGTGTGCCACAACGCTGGTCCTGCCCCATGCTTTTTGACTTCCCAGCCACGTTTAAATGTGTAAATTGTCGACCACTGTTTACAACCTCCTGCTTTAAGGCAGAGAAGATATAGGCAAGCCCATGGGCCAGATGTGGCCCAGAGATCAAACAGTCACACAGTAGCTGGCTTGAGTCCCAGCTGCTCCACTTCTGATCCGGCTCCCTGGGAAAGCAGCAGAAGGCAGCCTGTGTGCTGGGGCCCCTGCATCAGATGTGGGAGACCCAGATGGAGTTCCAGAATCCAGGCTTCAGTCTGGCTCAGCCCCAGCCATTGTGGCCATTTAGGGAGTGAACTAGCGGATGAAGGATCTATCAAACTCTGCCTTTCAAATAAACAGATAAATGTTTCAGAGAAAAATAGTCATTGAAATGTTATTTTAAGCATTGTTGCCATGTGACAATAACCCACCCTGGGTATCAGCTGCCTCTTCTATCCAAGAAGTACTCTCTGGGCTGCCACAGTCCCCAGCCACCCTGCTACCTTCCACACCGCCCACTTCGCAGGCTGGCTTCCTGCCTGGCTGTAAGGTAGGCACTCTGAGGAAAGTGCAGACGGTCTCTCAGTCCAGTATTACTGGGATATGTGCAGTGCCAAATCCAGGGCTGCCCCTTCATTCCCATCAACCCACCTTGATTCTTGAGACTCAACGAACTGCTAAGTTAGCCAAGCTCAACATGGATGTAAAAGAACAAACCCAACTCCTCATGTCGATGGACAAGCCCACAGCAGAATATCCCCACCACTGGCTTGTGTTGCCAGTCAAGTGACAGAGCTCACAGATGCTGTGAACAGAGACAGGATACACACCCTCTAGAGAGAACTTGCCTGGTGGGAGGTGGGGGTACAAGGCAGCTTCCTTCAGCCCAGTGGGTCCTTCCTGGGAAGGGTCCAGAGAGCTGGGCCCCTCAGACCCTGGCATCTGCAGAGACTGGAGTTCACCTGTCGATGGATCCACTTCTTTGGAAGACAAGTGGGTCCAGTCATCATCTCCTCCTGAGCAGTTATCCGACTCCATCTGCTCCTGAACACAACTCACCATGAGAACTCGGGACACGAGCAACAGGCCCTCCCGGAAAGGCGGCCAGGCTTGTGGGGCCGAGAGCTACTTGGTCACAAGGACCCAGTGTAGTGAAGTTCCCACTGAAGGGCAGAGTGACGGAAGTGCCACAGACAAGACTGTGACAGCAGTGGGGTCCCTCAGGCTGTGCGTGCTGGGGGCGTGGGCCGCAGGTGGGCTGGCGGGGTGACAGCTCACCTCGGGCTGTGCCCCGGTCTCCAGGGCTATCTTTTTCATCTGCTCTGCCAGAGACTGTGCTGTGCCCTCGCTGTTCCCATCCCCCTTGCTGGGTTCAGAGGAGCAGCTGCTCGGCTGAGAGCTACACTTCTCTTCTGTGCTGGAACTTTCTGGAGAGGCAGGTGTCAGGCGGCTTCTTTTACCTCCATGTTCCACGTCAATATCAACTTCAATGCCTAGAGACCACAGCGAGGGGGAGAGCTATGAAGTCCTCAGCATGTTGGGGACTACGGCTGACAACGTGCTCAGTGCCCACAGCGTAAACGTCCAACCGGGCGCCTGGCAAGATCACCCATGCTAGTGTGCAGGAGACCCCAGGCACGCAGCCCAGCTGGTCCCCAGGGCTGACTCGAAACGCCCTGCTGCCTGACTCCCCCGGGCCCGTGCAGCCCTCTCTGCTCCCGTGGCTTTGCCTGCCGGCTCGAGTTTACCAGTTCATTTCTCACTCTGGATCAGTTTACCTCCCCTTCCCCTAGGCTTTGAGAAACTCCGTTTTTGATGAAAACTACAACCCGTGTTTATGTTAGTTCCCCTGACAGATCTTAGTAACCGGATCCTCTGTTAGTGTTTTCCCCCGTGTTCTCCAGCTTTGTCTCTGGCTTTCTACAGCATCGGGGGGGGGGGGGGGGGGTTGCATCAGATACCCCCTCAGCTCTGGTGGGTTCCTTGGAGAGGACCCCTCATGGTGTGCCAGCCTTCTGCCCTGGCCTGGCCACTCTGGGCAGGGACAGGGCTCCGACCCTGGACCACCTTTCCTTTCATACTGGTAACTCCCTCTCCTCCTTAACGCCTTTGTTCTTCATTCTGAGTTTGTTTGTTCGTTTGGTCTAAATCGTGAAGGCTTTCATACTAGAAAATAATCTTGTTCTGCCCTCACACTTGATTTTAGCGGGGTCCAGAATTCTCAGTTGAAACCCCATTTTGACTGAGACTTGCGAAGGCACTGGTCACTGCAGTCTTCTAGCTGCCCCGTGGCCTGGAGGCCCTCCCCTCCGCTGGGACACTTAGCAGCTGATAAGCATGGGGTGAGGGGTGCTCAGTCACTGTGCTGGCGTGTGGGAGGCCCCTGCCATCCAGGGATTAAGTCCTTCCTCAAGTTTCTCTTCTCTCCCTGGAATTCCTATTCATCCCATTTGGGGCTTCTAGGACTGCCCTTCTACCATTTTCCTATCATTCCTCCTTGTCCCTATTCTTGCCGCCTTTGGCAAGTCATCTTAGTATCCACAGGGGGTCATTTTGAGGGCCTCCCTAACACTAAAAGCCACAGGTGCCCAGGTCCCTCGTGTTCAGCTGTTTGTGCAGCACTCACACACAGCTTCTTAGTTACTTTCTTACTTGACAGAGTGCCCAGCATCTAGTTCACTCCCTAAATGCCCTCAACAGCCACAGCTGCACCAGGGTGAAGTAGGGGGCTGGAACTCAGTCCAGGTCTCCCGGAAGAGTGACAGCAACTGACAGTCGTCACTGCTGCTTCCCAGGGCTGCCTTAGCACAAAGCTGAAATCCGGAGAGGCAGGACTGAACCCCGGCACTACAGCATGGGCTGTGGCCAGCTCAGCCACCAGACGAAACGCCCACGCCTCCCGAATGCTGTAAATCATCTAGAATACCTGTCATCCCTAATATAACATCAATGTTATGGAAATAGGCCGTGCTGCTTAGGGAACAATTAGAAAAAGTCTGTTCATGTCCAGTGCAGACATTTTCCCAAATAGTTTCAACCTACAGAGGACAATCTGGAGCTGCGGGAATGGGGGTAGTTGGGGGGGCCCGTGGGCATGATAGTTATGTCTTCGGGACAATCTCAGATTCTAAGCTTTCTTTTAAGGTTTTCCTTTTTCCGCTTTAATTTTCAATTCTTATAGTATTCTCTTTGCTATTCTGTGGTATCACATTCGTCATGGGAACATTTTTTCTGTCTCACTGAGGATATTAAGTCTCCTGTAAAAGCTTCCTTCCCACACCAGAGCCTGTCCTCAGTGCCTGGTGGAGCCTGGCTAGGTGAGTGTAGAGATGCACCGAGAAAAAGCTACAAGGAAGCCCTCTGTGGGGCTGGGCGGGTCGGGCATCGGGGGAGCCCCGCCAGCAGCAACAGTAGGGCTTTCTCTGGGTCCAGCTGGGAAACCGACTGCTGGGTCCTTTGCTTTCATCGTGTGCGGTTTCAGGCTGGTGCCTCCCCCTGCCCTGAGTCGGCCCTGGTGTCCCATAGCTGGAGCTCCCTGGGCCAGGCACTCCCGGAGTTAGACATCAGGCCTCCTCCAAGGGTTGACAAGGGTGGTCATCTGAGTGGGACCCTGGGGTCCCACCCCCTTGTTCCTGGCCCATGTTACTCCCACCTGTCCTGGGACCTGAGCAGTCTTGACTTCTTCCAGTGACCCCTGTGCAGCCACAAGGTAGGGGTTGGGGGGTCTCCCAGCCACCACCCCCTACCCGGTTCCCAGACTCCATGACATCCTTCTACCTTATCCTGGTACTTTGCTTCTCTTTTCTGTCCTGCTTACTCTACTTTTCTGTTCACCCTTTACAGTTATCTTGGAAGAGTTTCAGGAGGGAGGAGACAAGAGCAGGCCTAACCACAAGTGCAGTGTGCTTTGCCGATACTTCGGGTTAGGCGGACGACTGCAGGGAGGCAGAGAGGAGTCCCAGGACATGGGAAAGTTACGTTCATCCCATACTGTAGTCTAATGTGCGCTAGCATTTAACCCAAAAACAATAATGTACCCAATTATATTACTTTACTGGGGCAGGCGCTTGGCTTAGCAGTTAAAATGCCCTCATCCCATATCAGAGTGCCTGGGTTGCATACCCATCCCCAGCTCCTGGGTCCAGCTTCCCACAAATGCACACCCTGGGAGGCAGAAGTGAAGGCTCAAGGAATTGGGCTGCTGCCACCCACGCGGGAGAGCTGGATTGCAGGAGTCCAGGGAGTGCACCGATGAATGACAGCTGTTTCCACCTCTCAAAGCAAAATACTTTTTTAAAAAGTACTTTATTGCTAAAAATGCTAATGAGCATCTGAGCTGTTGGGAAAACAGCAACAGACTGCACCCCGCAGGGCTGCCACGAGCTGCGGGGTGTGCAGAGCGCAGGGAGGAGGGCCCATCCCTCCGCCCACAGGATCCCAGCTGTCTTCGCCCCTTTGCCTTCCAGCGCCTCAGTGTGAAAATGCTGAAGCAGAAAGAAAGCTTAAAGAACAGCAGGAGGACCTCCCTTTTAAATTTTCTTTCTCCTTTTTTTAAACGGGTGAATGAAATAAACCTTAAAAAAAAAAAAAAAAAAAAGGACCAGAGATTGTGGAATCAGGGTTTCTCAGACTGGCTGATGAGACCGTGCGGTTGGGGGTTATAAGCCTGTATGAGCACCCGGCCTGCTTCCCCCAAAGCCTACGTGTGTGTTCCCGAGGCCCGGGAGGCGGCAGGGCCTCAGTGCGTTGTGTCCTACCTACTTGCCCAAAGCTGCTGACTCAGTCCACAAACACTGCCCTCTGGGAAGCTGCTCGGAACGTCCCCTCCAGGCAGTTATCAAGTGAGTCACCCTGCTCAGTTCCTCGTAAACAAAGGAAAAGATAGCCCGCTTCGGCAGAGAAGCCCTTCTGCGGATGGCTCTCCCCAGCCGAAACCCCGAAGTCGGATCCGAACCAACTGCTCCTTTTGTAGGGTTGCAGGCTCCTTCCTCCTCATGGCAAAGGCAGCCCATGTGCTTCAAAGAGCTGTGAAGGCTCTACCCTTCTCCCAAAGGCCCTGAGCACATCAAGATGATGAGTGGGGGACCCAGCACAGGCAGGTCTTGGGATGGGGCTGGGGTCCCACAGTCACTTGGGAAGCCTCCGAATCAGGTGGGGCGGGGACCTGCACCTGCTTTTGTAATTTCTCAGGATGTCTCACTGACGATTGCTCTTCAAAGTAATTCTAATAAGATCTCCATGTACCAAATAACATAGCCCCAAGCCCATTGGGGATTTTGATGCTCAGCCAGGCTTGAGAACCACCGTCCACATAGTGTCCCACAGCAGCTGTCACAGCCCCTGACAGGTCACCAGCTGGATGGACAGCCGTCCGTCAAAATTCAGCTTCAGTCTCTCCAACCATTTCCTTGGCTCAAGTGAGCAGCAGCTGGGGCCTAGGCAGAGCTCAGCTCCCTCCTGCCATCTGCCGGCTGCTCCACTGTCTCACTTTCCTTGGGAAACACCAAGAATACCAACTCGTTCTCCTCATCTCTCAGGAGCCTCTAACTCTAAGCGAAAGCCACAGTGGTCTGAGCTGTTTAATTTAGCTGCAAGGCCAAGAACAGTCACTGCTGCTTCAAAGCTGTGGCCTTGGGCAGGAGAGTGAGCAGAAATGGCCTGGGGCCATTCTGCCTCCCCCCCTCCCCCAAAGCGCTGGGGGGCATGGGTCCCAGCACAACTGTCAGGCACAAAGTGGTGGTCACCTCCTGCCACTAATCACAGAGAGAAGCTCTCCTGTAGCGAATGATCGCAGCCCCATCGTGATCCCAAACCTGACGTCACCTTCACTGTCAGGTTCCCTCATCACCTGCTTCACCTGGTAGAACCCACCTCAGGCCTGCGAGACGGATGCAGCGGCCGCAGGGGTTAGCCTCGGAGCCTGGACCTGAGGTCAGGTTGGCCAATCTGGGCGGACACCATGGTTCACCCACCCCAACAGACCTACTCTGCAAACAGGCATGGGACTGGGGCATCACCCAGAGCACCTGACTGTTGCTGCCTTCTCCCCAGCAAGGTTTGGGGTTGCAGACAAAAAAGGGGAAAAGGCAAACGGCATCTTTACTACCATCCGGGTCCCTCCAGTTCAAATCCCAAGGTTCAGCTGAGGGGAAAATGCAGACTGCAGCTCTCACCAGGACAGGCAGGCCAGCCCTTCCACTAGAACCTGCCGTGATTATCCAAACCAAGCGGCGGCTGCTTCCACTCCGCTCAGCATACAACACTCCAGAACTAGTCAGGGAATTCAACTGTGAGTTGCCTGTGGTCCAGCACTTGGCAAAGGTTGATTCGAGGCCGTAAATCCTTGCCAGTCTCCAGGGCAGGTCAGCCACCTCCGCCCCTGCAGTGTCCCGGGGAAAGGTGCAAAGTCCACTGACTCTGCAATGTGCTGGGAGCCTTCACGGCCACATGGGGGCGCTCACTTACCCAGAGGGCTAAGGGCAGCTGCCACACTCTCCCCCACATTCTTCAGGAAGTTCACGTTGGGATCCTCTGATGGACCAGAAGCTTTGATTTTTATAAACAAAAATAGATACCTTTAATTTGGTGATTCATAGCTGTCACAGTCCTAACTCATCCCAAGTGACATCCAACCCAAGCCCTGACCCGGCGGCCCACACTCAGCACTCGCTCTCCTGGACCATGCCCCCTTCTGAGACACCCCCCCATGCTCAGTAACCCGCAGTCTCCTTACATGCGGTACGTAACAGGTGACCTTATCCTGCAAGGGCCATTTGCTCAAAATCAAACACACAAACCCACTTTTGTTCCAAAAGATGAAGTAAATCAATGGTCACAAAATTAATGAAATCAGAACAAACCCAGAATCCAAAAAGCTGGAGCGCAAAGCTATGTGTCAGTGTTTAACTTTGTGACTATGATTTTAAAAAGACGAGCACTATGGCTATAAGGTTCCTGATAGCTAAAACAAGAGAACCAGGGGCCGGCGATGCAGCATGCAGGTAAAGCTGTCCCTGCGACTGGCAAACCATACAGGAGTGTGTCCTGGCTGCTCCACTTCCAATGCAGCCCCCTAGAAAGGCCTGGGGAAAGCAGCCGAAGTTGGCCCAAGTGTTTTGGCCCCTGCTACCCACACGTCGGAGACCCAGATGGAGCTCCTGGTTTTGGCTTGACCCAGCCCTGGCTGTCATGGCCATCTGGTGAGTGAACCAGCGGATGAAAGATCTCTGTCGTATCCCTCCCTCTCTGTAACTCTTTCAAATAAATAAATCTTTACCAAAAAACAACTAGTGCCTGGGAGGGCCTCTTTGCCTTTGCCTGGAAAGGCAGGAAGGACTGGACGTGGGGGTTGAAACTCAGTCCACTCTGCAGGATTCTCATGCCGACCGAATGCTGCAGAGGTCTCGGAAGTGTGCAGACCGAGGTGGGCACGCAGACATTCGGGATGCAAAGCACGCACAGGCTGCCTGGCTACTGCTGCCTTGCCGAAGCCAGCAGGGGCAACAACCTCACCTGATTCTGCTGCGCAGCTGGGGCGGGCTTCCCCCGCTCGAGGAGGGCGTGGGCTCCAGTTCCCTGGGGGGCCCATCTCCCAGCCTGGCCACCCGAAGTGCCCATGTCTCAGCTTCCGGAGCCAGCGGCTGTGGGAGAAGCCCTGGGGGAGGAGTAAGCAGAGGCACCAGGCAGTGAGGGGCCGGGAGCCCCTGTCACCCCCTAGCCCCAGCCCAGGCCCACGGAGAGGGGCTGCTCACCTCCAAGTGGCCGAAGGGGCTGGGGAAGGCGAGCTTGCTGTGCTCCTGGTGCAGGCCCTTTGCCTCGCAGGCCCCGCACAGGTCGTAGTCCGGGCAGACACTGCACTTGTAGCGGGTTCCCACCACGGGCCCATTGCAACCATCGCAGATCACGTTGGGGTGCACCATGTTGCGGGGCGCCTCCTGGGCACAGGGCGGGCGGTGGTCCCGCCGGCACTCCTTCTTCTCTGCAGGGAGGTGGGGAGCCTTCGGGTGAGGCCCCAGCAGTCTTCCCCCTCCGGCACCACTGTGGGGCTGGGACTACAAGCTGCTGGGCCCGCCCTCCAGCCCCCAAGCCGGCTCAGCAGACAGCATCAGAGCAACACGGGAACCCGCTGCGGCGCCGCGTCCGCACCTTTGGTGGTGCTCCTCACCCACACCCCCGAAACTGCCCAAGCCCGTGGCTCCGGGGGAACACGGAGCCCTCCGCCCCGCACTGCCTGCAGAGGACAGTCAGGGCCTGTTTTACCCAGTGGGGAGCACCCAGCTCCCCTATTCCCTTACCTTTAATATAAATACGGAAGATGTCATCTTTCACGTAGCACATGGCCATCGTCAGTTCCTCATCACTGGAGAAGGCGACCAGGTCCCCGTCCTCATCTAGAGAGTCAACGCAGCACGTAAGCACCGCAGCGGGGGCCAAAGGAGCACTGGTGGCCTCAATACTCAACTTGCCACCTTCTTATTTATTTTTGAGACATGGTAGACAAGCAGAGCTCCTATCAAGGGCCGGGACTGGGCTGGGCAGAAGCCAGGAACTCAATCCAGGGCTCCCATGTAGGAGGTGAGGACCCAATTACTTGAACTTTCACCTACCCCCTGCCAGCATCTGTCCTGGCAGGAAGCTGGAGTCGGGAGCTGGGATCCAACACGGGCCCCAGGTATCTTAATGGGTGAACTAACCACTAGGCCTGATGCCCACCAAGGCCACTTCTTTAGGGGTGGGGCTGGACAGATCGGGGATAAGAAGGGAGCCTGCCCATTCACTGGACAGGAAGTGTGCCCGCCTGGGCCTGAACCTGGGCCACGGTCACACCTAAAAGGCAAAGTTTCCGCGTACACTACACGGACAATAACAGTGCCCTGTCCCTCAGAGGCCCAGCCCGCCAAAGGCTCTGGGCTGTCTGCAATGTTTAAGTGGAGATGAGCCCAGAGGCCTGCTGCTTTCTCCAACGAAGAAAAAAGGCTGAGTCCTTCTATGTTGGCTTCCGTGATTTTAAAGCATTGCCACACAGACCAGACCAGACCGCACCGTGCACAGGCTGCAGGCGGGGCCTGGACTTGGGCACCAGAGGGCAACATCTACCCTCAGAGCAAGAGTGGCACTTTTGCGAAACAACCCAAAAGTCCATCAACTAATGACACAAACACGATATGGCATATCCACAAAAGAAACGAATACAGATGCAGCCTACACCTCTGATGAACCTGAACGCATTTCCCTAAGGAAAGAAGCCAGACACAAAGCTAAACTGTACAACCCCCTCTCCACCACTGTCCAGAAGAGGACGCCCAGGAGAGAAAGCAGCTCAGCGTTGCAGGAGCTGAGGGAGACAGGTAAAAGGCATGGGGTTCCAGTGGAGAGGAAGGGGTTCTCATGCTGACTGCCAGCGCCTGGCCCCGCTCTCCAGCCCCAAGTCTGCTCAGAAGTTCCAACTGGTGAATGTGTTAAAGACCACTGCATCGGGGCAGGCATTTCTGCAGCGGCTAACTGGCAGCCCGGAACACTGGCAGCCCATATGAAAGTGCCTGGTTGGAGTCCAGGCCACTCCACTTCTGATCCCGTTTCCTGCTAATGTGCACTGGA